TTATGGTTTACTGCCACAGTGATCTCTTCAAATCAGTCATTGGGACACCCGGGGTCTATTCTGCACTTGGTGTTTTCTAGAGAGTTTGCAATGTTAACATGCAACTTGTGAGAGCTGTAATCCTCACCTCAGGGATGGCAGCAGTCCATGGCAGGCTCGAGGTGGACGCACAGAGGTGATGCTCTCCCCACAGGAACCAGGGCTCAGTGTCCAGGATACTGGTGCAGGAGACTCCATCGTTGAACTGAAGTGCTGGCATTACCTACAGACTTACCCAAAGACATCCAGCACCGTCAGGATGGATCCATCCCAGGGATTCGTGCTATCTGGGGAGGTTTTCTCACTCCTCCTTGTCTCAGCACAGCTGCTGGGATGGGCACCTCGGTTCCCTGTGGATTTGGTTCATTCCCTGCCATCGTCTCCTCTCCAGGGCTGTTCCTTCCCCTCCCAGGACTCACGGCGAGAGGAGCTGTCACTTCAGAGCACGCCACTCACGGGCGGCTCTGCCTCTTAACAACGGGATCGGAGCCGGAGCCGATCACGTACATCCCCAGGGGCTGGAGCGTGACTCCCAAAACAAGCTGAGGGAAGATGTGTGCATGTGGAGGAACTGGGAGAGCTGCAGAGGGGTGAAGGGGTGAAAGAGGGACAGCGTGACTTGCCATCACCCCATTATGTATAAGGCTCTGCGTGGTCAGCGGGGAGTGGGAGGCACCTCCAAAACACAGGAGCCAACTGATGTCCATGCTCTCCATTTCTCTTTAGCGAGGCCTCTCCTTGGCAGTGGCTATGGGGCAGCCTGGCAGATGAACCAGCCACCAGCAAGGTGAAGTGCCTGCCATCCTACAGAACAAATGTCACCCAGCAGATGCTCATGGAGAGAGGAAAGGCTCATCTGCCAAACCTTAGAGCCTTTCACCTGCCTGCAGAACTTTTCCCATCATGTTGATGCCAGAAATTTCTGATCAGATCAATGGAATGTGATGACAGAGATGATAAGGGAGATGCTCTTGTCTTCTAGTTGAACCCTATGCCTGGCACCTTCTCCTGCCCTTTGACCTGTCCAGTGCACCTTGTCAACTGCACCATATTTTGGGGGGAGTCAGGGATGCAGAATTACCTCCTCAGTCCCTACAAGCAATCAACTTGCTCCTCAAACCATGAGATATGATTGCCCTTATTACTTTAGCTTGCATAGCTGCGAGTCTTGTTAATGGTCATAAAATTACCCAGTCCTTATTTAAATCCTACAGCCGTCTGTGTTTCAATGACCTCCTGATGGTCTCTGGCTTTGTTCCAGGTTGAAGAAGCATCAGAGGGACCAGGAAGGAAAAAGAGGCAGTGGGAGGATTAAAGAAAAACAACCAAAAACACAACAAGCAACAGCCAACAAAGAGAATTCAAAGTGAAATGGGGAATATTAAAGAGAGCTCAATCAGTCAGCTGGAGAGTTTAAAAAAACATAACCTGTCACAAAGAGAAGGAAGATGCATCAGGTAAAATTAGCAACACTAATAAACTCATCAGAACTGGAGCCTGGGCCAGGAAACAGCAGAGGGAGGACAAAGGGGTTGGTAGAGTCTTGATCCCATGTTGGGGAAGCAGAAGAAAACTGAGAAAACCTGAGGGAACGTGCTTTGATGGAGGAACGTGGAACAAAGGCATGGGCTGCTCCTGAAACCTCCAGCCTTTGTGCTCCTTAACTTACATGGCAGCGGTTTCTTTAAAGTCTATTTTCTTTCTGTTTGGTCCCTTGTATTTGCTCCAGGGGGGAAAAAGAAGGAAGGCTGGAGACACAGACACAGTGGGTGGAAGGAGCAGGAGGAGCTGCCGGGATGACTGCCCAGGACCAGGGTCTGCAGCAGGCCCTGGGTGAAGGCTTTGGCCCCTGGTTTCTACATAGAAGGTTTCTGGAGCAAAAATCTCCTCTTTACTTTGGATGCCAGACCGTTCCCCTGTCCTTTCAAATAACATCTGCAAACCCCCAGAGTACCAATAAATTTTACAATAACAACCCCCCCAAATGAGAAACAAGAACTGGAAAACCCCCAAGCAGCAGAGAACTGTTTTAATGTAACCAAGCTCCAACACAGATTTCCATCAATTCTGCAGCAAACCTGAGTCATGAAATTAAAAGTAGCATCAGCATATTTCCTATTAGCTAGGGTTCCTTTTTCAGAACAGATCATACATTCCTACCCTATTTTTCTAGACACTTGTGTCAATGCGATATCATCAGATGCCGTTCAGTCGCTCCTCTTAGCCTGAAAAAAGCTTTCCTGTTGGGAAGGATGGGGTTTTAATATTTAAAAAAGACTTCATGAAAGAGCTTTGCTGATTTTTTATTTATTTATTTATTTATTTAATATCCCTCCCCTGATCAGAGTGGGCGCGTTTTGTAGCTTTTAAATATCATGCAAGTTTCAGCAACGCTGCTATTAAATCTGAATCTGCTGTCACAGCAGGCAGTGGGAATGTGATTCACACCAGCACAGAGAGCCTGTTCCATCCTCCCCAGCTCCTGTCGTTAGCTACAGTCACCTGGCATCTGACACCGTCATCGTTTTCCCAATGTCTTCAAACAGCTAAAAACTGTAACAGAACCAAACCTGTCCTGGCTGTGCCCTCTCCCCCACTGAGCAGCACGGCCCACCAGGGTCTGGCATCGCCTTGGTGATGTCCTAGGAAGGCTCTTGCCTCTCTTTTCCCAGGGTTTATTTTGACATGCCCACCTGTCAGCCCAACTCGCACGACTCTCAGCTGTCTCTGAGCCCACTGCTGGGTTGGGAAGTGAAAAGGGAGGGTGCTGCTCCTTGTTTGAGCATTGGAGTGATGGGAGGGGAGCAATGGAGAACCAACAGCAACGCTGGCACTGCTGACTTCTCTCTCTGTCCAGCACTCTGTTTCTTCAATCCACCCCCAGCTCTGCTCCTGCCCTCCACCCTCCAGGTAACTCCCTCACAGCTTCTCCTTCCCTTCCTCCTATAGCGTTACATGGAGAAGATCCAAAACTAACATCTACAAACCCTGAGCACACTTTCAGGACAATGCTGAGGCTCATGCAAACAACACACAATGATGCCAAGAGCCAGGAGACACAAAAGGCACCATGTTCAGAGCTGTGGCCTTAGGAGAGGCACAAACCTTGCAATACCTGCCTTAGCCAAGAGCTCTGCTGCTCACACGGACGGCATGGCAGCACCTGACACCTCCTTGCTTGGTGTTCATATACGCACACAGATGGAAAGGGCTGATCAGCAGAGGAGCTGGGGCTCGCAAGGAGTTTGAGTGAAGGGAAGCTTCAGGCAACCCTGCAAACAAGACGGTGTTATGACACACACAGTCCCCCAGCCGTGCGCTAATAAATCACATTTTACAGCCTATAAACCCAGCGAGCCAGCACGGAGACCCAGCGAGCACATGCACGCTTGTGATCGCTCTCGCCCCTCCCCTCCAACCAACTGCAAATTTCTTACCCATCTCCCAAGATTTTCTAAAAGGATTTTCCACAAATGGAGCTGGAGCTTTGCAAGTGACGCGCCGAACCCAGACGGGACTCGTGCCCCACCACCTGTGGTGGTGGCAACTGGAATCTCTGTTTGCATTGCCCCAGGGGGCTTGCACCCATGGAAGGGGCAGTGAACACAGTGGCAGGGCCCTGTGATGGGCTTCTGACCGCCATATAGCTCAGCAAGGAAGGGTCATCCATGAACAACATCCACCTGTGAGCCTTAGAGAAGTCAAGCTTCTCAAACGTCCCAGTTTCATGTAGTGCCCAAGCCTGCTCGCTGTGCAGCAGTGCAATGCCATGAGCAAGGACAGAGATGCTGCTGGCCAAGGCAGGACAGTGATCCAGCAGCTTCCCAAGCCATGGAGAGGACCAGGTGCTGCACCACGCCAGCACATCTAGCCAAGCACCCATCCTCACCACACACTTCTCCCAGCTGTGCTGCTGTATTAAACTTAGTTGAACAAATCAGTCTTGCTGGGAGTACAGGGAGCAGAGCAGTAATTCATCTGTCTCCTCCCCACCGGAGGCATCTCAGAAGACTACAGTGTGTTCTACCTGAACTTATTATCCTTTCACTCCTGGGAGGCAACTTTCCAGTGGGCAGAACGCGTTTTCCCTTGTCGCTCTCCAGCATCGCTTCTTGCCTCACCTGTGTTTTGCTAAGATAGAGGGTTTATTGTAAACTTATTAATTACTTCATTTCTCCTGCAAGGAGCCAAGAGAAAAATTTTCAGAGGCAGCCAGGATCTGCTATTGTGTTGGCAGAGGAGCTGAATGCAGCTGACGTCATGATTCATTTTCCCCATGGCTGAGGAAGGCGACTCTCTGTGCCACGTCGCGCATACGAATCAGGCAGCGTTCCCCTGGCACAGCACGCCTGGCAATTCATCTTCCACCAGGACTTCTTCAAGCAGAAGAGAAAATGCCAAACTTTTTGCCGTTGCACTTCCCTGCAAACCCCATGGAGAGGAGGGTTGGGGAGATGGGGGCTGCAGAATCCCCACAGCTCACGCTTGTCCCTCCACCTCTGGTCAGGTGTGTCTGTAGCAGCTGTTTTCTGTGCCTATAGGCACATCAACAGGTCCCAGAGTGACTCCAGCAAGCAGGGCCAACCCTGCAGCCACTGTGAGCATCTAAGCTAACTTTCTAGCCTGCTCCCTGCTACCTTCTCTCCAAGCTTAGGCAGTATGTTCCTGCTGATATCAAGAGGAAATCAACATAGACAGACATTCATAGCACACTGATCTGGTTTATGGGAGTGGGTGTTGGAACTAGACGATCTCTAAGTTCCCTTCCAACCCAAACCAGTCCATGATTCTATGATACTATGAATGAGACTTGCCTGGAAAAACAGAGATAATGATGTCCTCCCTTCTCAAAGCACTACCAGCATCAGATCATTGATGAAGGAGTGGTTATCAACCTCTACCTGTAGGAGAGCACAGCAAGGGCACAGCGTGTATCCCAAATAAAGGAGTCATACACCCAGTTTGGGAAGTTACACTTTATTCTTATCACAGAAGAACTATACCCATTATAACACAAAATGTCAGACTTCTGGGGATGCTCCATCTCCATGGAGGAGAGGAGGAGGGAGACCCCCCAAAACAGGTACCCACAGGCTGGTGACAGGCAGCAAGCTAAAACCAGCAGCAGTGAGAACACCCCAAGTCACTCCCTTCCCCCTTCTACAGTCCTGAGATAACCAAGAGCCCAAGAGTCTCAATGAGGAACCAAAAGCACGGCAGTGACATCTGAGCACACCACACAACAGAGAGGTGTAAACACAGGTACAGGCTCTTCAAATGGCCATTGATGCTTATGCTTGTCTGCTCAGTGATGGCAGACTCAGGTAACTGACATTTGAAAATAATTTCAACCCTGATGAGTTATGAGCTCTTTGTAAGAGCAAGAGACCTTCCCTGGGTCCCTGTCCTCAGGGACCAAGCCCTTGGCTCCCATTAGAAGAGAAGAACCATGAGACAGGAAGCACCAGCCTCATGCAGGCTCACCTCTTTGCTGGGACCAAGATTTGGGGAATCCCTTTGGGAAAAGCTTTGAACAGCAATGCTGTGGGCTCCTCAAACCAGCAGTTTCCACTGTATTCCCAGAGAGATGCTGAGAGTCTGGGTAGTGATGAACACATTGCCCAGTTCAAAGGCAGGGATTGGCACAGGAGAGCCCTAGGAGGGAGCTAGACTTGCCCTCTCACAGGAGGAAAATTATGCTTTTCAGAGGAACTGGTGTCAATCAGCATGAAAAAGTAGGGAAGAAGGAGTTCCCTGCAAAACAGAAGCGACCCAACACCACAAATTAGGAGAGGGAGACAAGAATTTGTCCTTGCTACCTCAAGTGTCCTGCCCAGGAGCGCTCAGCCCTGGCTGGTGGCTGGCAGTGGGACGCTAAGCAATGGTCTGGCGGCTGAAGAGCTCGAGGGTGAGGGCGCTGAGGAAGGCCGGGATGCTGTCCTGGTGGAGCAGGTGGAGGTCGATGAGCTCCCGGATGGTTCGTGAGAACTCAGTTTCCAGAAGCTGCATTTTTCCGCCAGAGGAGCTGGAGGCCTAAGGGGACAGAAGAACAAGCCCATTAATATCCCAGGGTTTTAATTCACCTCCTCTTGATGCGGGGGAGAGCAAGCAGCGTCACCCTGAAGCCTCCTTTGGCAGGACCTGCCTGTCATCAAGGACACAGTATCTGTTTGGGACATGGTGTAACTGGGCTGTTACTGAGATCTGCATTCCAACGTCCCCAGGCAGGACCCCTGTGTGAGCCTTCCCTGGTGACAGCTGTGGTGATGGGGGATGAGGGGTTTGACCATCCTGGAAAAAGTCTGCGTTGCCAATGCAGAACCAGAGTGCCCACATTGGGGTCACTGCCACCACCACCACCCAGGCCTCGGGTGGCAGGAGCTCTGCACAAGGGCTTTCTCTCCATGAAAACACTTATCTCTGAAGTCATCCCACTTCTGTAGGAGGAAGCAGACCTGTTCCTAATTAACACAACTTCTTCCCAGTGAGCACTGATCCACACAGCGTCCCTGAAGTGTTTAAATCAGCCTGGCAGCGCACAGCCAAAACCTCCAGAGGAATTATTCCAGAGATGCTCTCATGAAAATAAGGAAATTCAACATGTGGGAAGACATTACAAATCTCCTGTAACATATAAAACAAGCAAAAAAAAAGCTAGATGCAAGAGAAATAAGGAGTGCTTGGAGCCTCTCCTGCCCCCGGAGGTACGAAAGCAGCTTGTTTATTAATAAACAGCAAAAACATCACAGCGCAAATGCTAATTTTTTTCCCCTGCCATTTTCCTCTTCAAAATGCTCCCATTCCTGATTGCTCCAAAGCTCTGCTTCCTGATGGATCCGAGGTGGGATGGCGCAGGCCATGCCAGGCACGGCTGGCATCCCCTGGGATGTGCAGGAGCAGGGCAGCCCCCCAACCCAGTCAAAGGATGCCAAGATTCCAACTGGGAATGTTAAAGGAAGACATGGCTTTAGCTGCCAGGAGAGAAGGGAAGCAATAGCCACCCAGAGCCCTAGGGAACCCACTTCCTCCTGATTTCATGTTCTCAGGAGCCTGGACACACTTAAATTATGAACTTCTCATGTTTGGGTCACTTTGGATTGTGAGGAGTGTAAAGTACTGAGGATACCCCTCTCGTCCCTGAGCCAGGCAGGGAATTGAAACAAGGTTTCCACATGGAAAAGTAAATTAGCTTCTGTTTAAACGTCCTTCATTTTGGCTGGGTTGCTTTTCAGCAGATCCAAAGGATGTGCAGTGCTTTGATCTGCTGCTTACCAGAGCCACCTGATGCTTGCTGTGCACCTGAGGTACCCCTGGGCCAGATGAAAGAGGCCAAGAGGGGAGGGGGCAGCGAAGGCAGATGAAAGAGCCAGTCGGGGACATCACGAGGGACAAACATCCCCAGCCCACGCAAAGACAGAGGTACGATGTGAGGCTGTGGCAGAGCAAGGAGCGAGCACAGGGGCTGGGTGATGTGGCAGCAGCACAGGATTTGTTTTGCAAATCCCCCTCGGATTCAGCTGATGGGAAGCGCCAGTTTCGGGGGAAGGTCCGAGTATTATGAATGCATCACTTGAGTCTCTATAGTCAGTGCTGAATTGAATTCATCCAAAATGGGAATTCAAGCTCTGTATGAAATACACTGACTCCTTTGCAGTTTTAAAACACTCTTTGGGCACAGAATTAATTTTCTAAGAATTTACAAGCAAATCCATTAATTGGTTTAGTAGTTTAATTAATTAAAGTTAAGTTCCTTAAGAAATTTAGCATCCAGTGCCAGACCATTTGCTTGTGTTTTATGACCTCAGAAACAGAGCAACATAAATGTTTTAAATTTCCTCTACTTTGAGCTCACAAGCATCGTGGGTGAAGGCTACATTTGACTATTTTTCCTTTTTTTATGAGATTAATGGTAATTTCTCTCTACTATTCTTCACAACCAAAGTTTCCTCCTGCAGCAGAGAAAGAAGGATAATGTTCAGAGAAAGTTATGTGGGCAAATATATACTTCTGAGGAGACTGATATTTCCTGCTGAGTTCAATGGCGATTGTGGTTTCTCTCAGCTGCCAAGAGAGGCACCATCCTCCCCCTCATCTCCATGGCCTCTGCCTCCCCAGGAAATCCAAAAAATCAAAGAAAACCCCAAAAAGCTTCCAAAACCCAGACATCTCACTCAGGTTTCTTATGATCACTTCTGAAACAGGCACAAGGCAAGGAGGCAGCCGCTTGGAAAAAAAGGCAATTCTTCCTCTGCCAGGAGATGTTTACATGTGAATCTGGAGGATGGATGCACTTACAGTGCAGTTCGTTCAATCTCACACTGCTTTTAAAAAAATTGAGAAACTTTTTTTCCCCCCTGGGAGTGTTTTAAAACTGCTATCATTGTTACTTTTCTTATTATTTGTTTTTATTGCTTTTTTTTTCTTCACCCATTGTTCATAATGTTGTATAGGCTGGGATATACAGATAGATTTGCTGCTTTGGGTTCAACAGCAGGAGCACCTTTGCAGCCTGTGCTTTACAAATAAAGTGATTATACGAAATAATAGCAATATGTTCCCATTAATTCACAGGATTTCTTTTCAAATGCCAGGCTACATCCTGCCTGGTGCACCCGCAGGCAGAGAGGGAAGTGCCGGGGTGGGAGGCGTGGGAGCGAGCAGGGAATCACGGCAAGGCAGGGGGATGCACAGGGGTGTGCAGGAGCAGCGAGGGGGAACATATGGGGGGGGATGCCCTGCTGAATGAACACTGCAGGGTCTGCTTGTTTCACACCATTCTGGATTAACGCAGAGCATGCCTGTGACTCCAGGTCTAAAAACGGGATTCATGAAAATACAAAGATGAAATTTCTAGCAGTTCAAAGCTGGAAGGGTACTCAAGTCCTCCTCTTCACTGTTCATAGCTAGGATTCCCTCCACTCATTTTTAATTAATTTTTATAAATGTAAAAAAAAGTCTCAACCCTCAAAGGCAAACTCCTGGACACAACCCCTGCTAACAAGAACTTGTAGGTGCCAGCACAAAACAACGATTCACATGACACACCATTCACTCGATGCATTCCCAAAAATTCTAGGTTTCAGCAAAGGCAAAACCACCCAAGCCCATTTAGGAATCAAATGTGAGGCTGAGAGGAACAGAAACAAGTGTCACTGATCCATGAGTTATGGGGTGGGAGAGGCCAGAGCATGTTCAAACCCGGCCCTAACTGCTCTGCCCCCCAACACTACTGATGTCATCTCTATAGAGTGTTGTTGCTTTTAAAGAAAAGTGTGAAAGAGAAAGCATCAACATTTAGAGCCAAACTGAATACACAGGAGCAAAGGAAATGCTGAGTCTCTGAGTATCCCCATCCACCCCATAGACAACGCATAGAGGAGTCAATGCAAGAAGACATTTTGGGGACCAACATCACGCTTCACTCCCCCTTTCCCCTCTGTGCTGAGCGAGCCACCCAAGTGCAGCACTTCACTAGAGATGCAAATATTGCCCCCTCACCCTCAGTTTCCCTGACCTCAAAGCAGCCTGAAGCAACTGAAGGTAAGCACTAGGAAAACACCATCTCTCAGGTACTCTGCACATAGCCCTATATTGGTTTCTTCTAATTCATGGGAAAAGTCTGTCTGGCTCACTAAACTACTGAGATTCAGGTCTATGTTATGTTTTATTCAGATCTCAAATACTTGCAAAAGGAAAGATTTCAGCTTTCACTAAGCTCTGTTGCCAGTTCAGTCTGATTTAAGGCCTATTGGGACCTTTTCTAGAGAAGCAAAGGAAATCAATCTTTGCCCCCTGTTGCCACACACTTGGCTCTGCTGGGGGAAGGGTGGGACTGTGGTTGTAGATTTGAAGGGTGGCACCGTGTTTGTCTCCTCGCAGGCTCTGCTACCCCAGAGCAATCAGAGCAATCAGATTTCACTGTATTGTAAACCACAAGAAGACAGGCCTATTTAGCACGTGGCAACATAAACTTGGAGTGGCTGCTCCTGGATCTGCTCGGAGAAAGGAGCTGTTAGTACAACTGTTTTTCCAGGGGAGTCAAGATCAGCAGATGCCTGCCAAAAGGAAACATCATAAATCTTCCTCTTAGCCCTGGAAGCTGGTAAATTATTCAAGGGTTTATAGTTTAGATATACATATAAAAATCTCTCAAATAAGCACTAGTGTGGTAGAAAAGCGAGTTCTCAGGTCCAGCTGGGACCATCTCAGCAAGGAGCAGACAACACAGAAGATGTGAAGGAGCAACAGACATTCCCAAACATCTCTGCTAGGAGATGGATGGACCAACATAAGGACCATAAGAGAGGCTCTCTACACTGTTGTCACTTCAATGTAACACATACAGGACTTCTGTCTGCACTGGACCTCCTGAGATGGCTCTTTGCCCCCATGCTACTGTTGCACACAAAGGCTTCCTGAAAGCCCAGACTCCGCATTTCCTCCTCTGCTTCTTCCACTGGCCGAGGGGTAGATACGTTAAAAGTGTGACAGTGGCTGCTTAAGTCATTTCTGAGCTCACAGTGTGGCCCAGAAGTGCATTCTGAACTAGATACACTCACTTTTCAGTGTCTTGTATGTCTCCTTCCTCTTCTCTCTGACACATACCTAAAAACCCAGATATCCCTACTCTGGCTCCAAAACCACCATTTACTATAACCTGGCATGCAGCGTGACTTGAATCACACAAAGGATGTGTCTTGAAAAATACAGGTTGAGCATAAGACCCACTGTCCTGTAGACCTTCAGACACTGGAAGAAGACTGAAAAGAGGGTGGCTGCATGCCCCAAGGAGAGAGCTGACATGGAGACGTATCGAGAAAGTAAGGAGTGGAAATGCAGAAACAGGGAAAAGAGGGCTTCAGCATTCAAAACAACTGGAGATTTCAGCATGCAGTGAGGACATCCTACCTTTGATTTCCACACTGAGAAAGCACAACTGCCTTTGGGGATGCGATCCATGCAGGACATGTGTTCCTGCATCTTCAAACACACACCTCCAGTGCCGGAGGTGGAGTTCCTGAATGGGTTTTGGC